TTACTAAGCCATTCACCTAAGGGATAATCTGAAAGTATTTCATTAATTAATATTAAAGATTAATAATTTTCGTATGAAATTTTGATGTTTAGTAAGAAAAGTTAAAGTGTTTAAATAATTTATTAAATTTATTTATTCAATGTTTTTGACAACACCGAGTACTTTGGATTGTGATTGTGAATTTGTTTTCCCATTTTTAATGTGTTGCCATCAATTTTTGTAGTAACACGAGCTAAACATTTGTTCTTCAAACAAACCCAATTGATGGTGTTGCTGTAAATGGTCTTTTTACGATAGACAAATCCCTTGTGCCACAAGTTTAATCCACCACATCGATTGGGAACCAATTCATAACTGCAATCTAGAAAATGTTTCAGTTATTTTAGTAAAAAATATTTTTCTTTCCTTATTAGGTATTAAGAAAATATGATAAACGCGATGAATATTTTTAATTATTTGTTATTTATTGAAATTTCATCCTTATTGAGTACGAACTAAAATTATCCTATTTTCGATTCATTTTTGATATTAAACTGGAAACTAAAGCATCATTATCGCTCGACTTTTCAGAAATGTCTTTCTCATGTTTCGGTTCTTGCATGTAATTTTCCAAAACTGAAATATTGAAAGGCATAAGCTCACGATTTCGCAGCTTTTCTGTTTCAGGTAAATGTGTGTGATCAGTGATACATAATGTGACAACCTCATTTGCATTTAGAATCAAACTCGCGCGACATTTATGAGATGTACATCGAATGCAACGCCAATAGTTGTCACGGTTGCGACGGTAGAGGAAATCGTTTACTATTAGCAGAGGCTTTTTCCGCTGACTAGTGATATAATGCAGCAGTTGACCTTTAAATATAAGAAATTATAAGAAAAACATTCATGTTAGTTTAAAAGTTTTAATATTTTTATATGAAATTATCTACAAGTTAAAACTTTCTTCATGGGGTTAAGGAATAAAATTTCGCAAAGATTTTTATTTGTCTACTTTAGAACTTCTCTCTACATTTGTTTCATTGATTTCTTTTGATGTGTTGCTACTGGCTTTAAACCATTCATCAAGGTTGGAATCGTTTAGATTCTTAAATTCTACATTAACTTCAACAGCACGTTCATCAACTTGATGATTATGATCAGTTTCTTTGCAAACATTATTTCCTTTTAAAATCAGACGAGCATTACATTTAAGTCCCTTGTAACGTATGCAAAGCCAATAAGTTCGAGATGCAATTTTCCTTTCACAACGATAAATAAACCCAGAATGAAGAATCAAAGGAGCACCTCGTTGGCTTCGAATAAATGGCCACATTTCCCTTCTGTCAACAATTTTATATTCTTCAGCTTTTTGTGCAGCATACTTCAAATTCGATAATTCTACAAGAGACAAATGATAATTCATGAAATTAGTTTCATGTCGCTAATGATCGCATTTTTTTGATATTTCAACACAACACAAAAATACTTTTGTTTAATAAAATTAATTCAGCGTTTTTATTTTACATATTTCTTTAAGGTGTGCTAGATTTGTTACGGTTTTCATCTTTTTTTACTTCTTTCATGAAAATTTTCTTAATTTTTTCTGTGTGTGGAGGGTGATTATGACCCCCGCCTGTTAATGATACAATTTTACCGCCTGACACCAAACATCTTGCGCGACAACGTTCTTCTTTCCGCTTCCTATAATTATCATAAGATTTATCACATTATCTCAATAATAAAATATTAAAAGAAATCATGCGAAGTACCTCGAATAGTTATGACATCGCCAATAAACTTTATTCCCGTGTGTACTATGACAATTATAGAGAAATTCATTATAAACGAGACACTTTGTCGACCAAGGACTTGTAACAAAAGTGAGTTCCGTAGTTGACTCGTCACACGGAATGCTATAACTTTTCTGATCGCCTTTGTTATCATCTACGTCATAAATGGTATAAGCTGATAATTGAGAAGACGGCAATTGTATCGTTACATATTCTTCTTCGAAAGGACATGAAAGTAGAAAAAGAATGTCTAATGTTAAAAAAAAATATACCAAAACTTTAAGCTTAAAAAATATTTGATAGAAAAGTTTTAAATGATTTTTAAGGAAAAATTTATTTGAGATCAAACAAAGTTTTTTTTGGTACATTTGACATTCTCTTCATTTTAATTTTTTTCTATTCATTTGGGGTTCATGATTATGATTTGAAGTGACTTTAAGAATTTCACCGCATTTCGTGCGACACCGAACTTGACAAGGATTTATTTTACGTGCACTACCAAAGGTACATCGCCAATATGTTGTTCCATTCTTTCGACGCTTATTAGATGAGAATAAAAAATTATCGATAATAAGAAGCTTTCCACCCCAACGACTTCTTGCATAACGCAATTTTCCCTCACCTAAGTAATGTTAACCATGAAAGTGGACAAAACAATTAAGAATTTCAATCAATATTGAACGTTTTAAAATATTTTTAAATATGAAATTTAATCAAAGTAAATTTTTTGGAAAAAAGAAATTGACAAAATATATTTGGAAAGGTGAATTAGAATTTTTTTCTTTATTTTTCTCATTAATTTCTATATTCTACATAATGTCCTTCATCATGAATTATCTCGATCTTCATTGAGCACTTATCATCGTACTCTTTAGCAGCTTCACTTAAAGATTTAAGTGAAACCAAACCTTTTTCCCGGGCTTCGCTTATCCGATCTTCTTCACTTTCGTGATTGTGTGGAACTGAAAATTTGAGTTTCCTGACATTAAAAATATTCTCATTGCAACATTTTTAGCCTCTACAAGCAACCAATCTTACCGTTACTATTCGCTACGAATAGTTTATCACCAATCGTCTTTAAACGCCCGCGACAATGTTGTTTACGGTTGTGAATACATTCCCAATAAAAAATATTACGCAACACTCCCTGTCGCCGAAAATTCGAACGGTAAATGTAATTGTCATGAATCATGTGATAGCCACCTTTGCGACCTTTCATGAAGTGATAAAGATTCTCCCCAATTTCATTGACATCTGAGAGAGGAATAAATTGGAAACATGATAGGATGCGATAAAATGTCAATTTCTTATGTTCTAAACAAGCACTGATTGAAAAGAAATATTGATGCTTCAAAAGTCTTTATTTTAAAATTTAAAACTATTTTTTTGTAGTACATATGTTAGTCAGATGAATGAATTATTGTAACGGAAGAGCTTCTTCGGTAAGGTAAAATCTTTTATTTAATAATTTTTTGGTATGTGCTGGATGTTTATGCTCCATTCGACGCCTTATTAATTTATTATCTTTTGTCAAACATCCAGCTAAACATTTATGCTTTAAAAAATCAACACAACGCCAATTAGTGTTGCCATTTGAGTATGTTATTTTCTTATTAAAAATAAATCCTTCGTAAACTAACTGAGGTCTACACTTCTGACTACGCATGAATGTCAACTCGCCTGCACAAAAAGATCAGATTGAGAGAAAGAAAGAAAGACTTTTAAAATGTTTTCTCATTTGAAAATTTAAAAGAAAAACTTTTTGTGACATAAAAATCTAAATACGAGTGACATTCGATTTAAAAGACATTCAAAAGAAGTTTCAGAAGAATTTTCTGTTTCGAAGTTCTTCAGTTTCATTTTCTATATTTTTTATATTGGGAACTGATTCATTTTCCGTATCATTCATAGTTTCACTTTCAAACATTTTAATTTCGAAAGCTTTCGAATCACTTTAAAAATTTGAAATCACGAAAATCGTTTCCTGAAAGTTAAAATTTACAAGAAAAAAAGAAAGAACAAATTTTCAATTACCTGAGTTAACATTACCTTTTTTACCGTTTACCTTTTACCATTACCATGTTTTACCTTGTTTTTATTTTTAACACTTTAGAAATTTAAAAATTGTTTGATAAATTCGCGAAATGTTTGCATATAAGTATAATTAATATACTTGAAAATGTTTTCCCTTCCCGAATTATTTAAAATTCTTAAATCTAAAAACTTACTTGCGATAACTTACCAATGTCATTAGTTAATTCAGACATTTTCTCCTCTCAATAGTTTCGTTCTTGAATTTTTTAAAATATTGCACCAAATGTTATTTCAAATTAACATTTTTTTCACTCAATTGACTGAAGTTTCAGTTTTTTATAGAAAGAAATTATGAGATTTCCGTAATAAAATAAATCGAATGTCAAGAAGGATATGGATATGTAAAATAATCATGAGCTCAGAAATTGCAAACATAAAAGTATTTAGATCAATAGTTGAGAGCTCTAGATTTCTTTTCATATTATTCAGGGACTTTGAAATCTTTGAATGTATCAATATTCCATTTCAATTTAATTGAAATTTTTCAATTTATGAAACCTTATCAATATTCACATTAAAAATGTTCATTCAATTTTTCTAATTTACGTTTTTAAATCATGACAACTTATTTTCAATTGGAAGTATGGAAATAAAAGAAAAAGCTCAAATATGTTGTGAACATTTCATAAAATTTCATAAATTGTTTACGCATTTCATCAGCTTAAAAGTTATACCGTTATCGAGATATAAAACGAAACTTTTCATACGCATGTTAATTATTTTACTTCTTTCCTTCGCGTTTTTTAACTTTTGCTCGAGAAATCCTACCTTGTGTTTGTAGTTCAACTTTCCTTCATTCGTCGTTCCATTTCGGGTTGATGATGTTGAAAACTTCGGTTTAATTTAATAATACTTTCACTCACACTACTTCACTAAGATCGTAACACTCGTTATTTTAGATTTTTCTTTTTTTCTATTGCATTGACATAAAACTACTACGCCAACATTTTTTTTCCTATTCATATTATTTTTTCATTCAACACTTTTTCGTTCACTTCCATCAGCAACATTGAAGCAGATATTGATGAATTTTGTGAGCAAAAGTTAAAAAAAATACTCGAGAAAAACGGTTGCTTTTGAGCCATTGAATACGTTTTTGTTTTAAAAATTTTTTAATTAAAATAAGGTACCAACCTTGAGCATCCGTGTTTGATTGATCTCCTTCCGTTGCATACGTTTCACTAAATCCAGATACGCCAGCTTTATCATCGCCTTCAGTAAAATATGATTCATCGTATTTTTCTTCGCCATATGTAACATCTTCAACATATTGGTCATCATCCTGTTCAGTCTCAATTTCCTGTGTATCCTCAACATATTCCGGTTCAGTTTTCGGGTTCAATTGCGTGCCTTCTATGGGTAAATCAATGAATTCTGTTGCTTCTGTCACTTTGAGATGCTGTGGTGTAACAATTTCGTGTTCAGGGTCGTCTAGCGGGTCTGCTGATTCTTGTGATTGTGACATTTTAATACGTTTTGGTGCAACTGTGATAGATTGGCGAGAAGAGCGTTTGGATGGTTGTGTTGTTTGTACTAATGTGACCGTTTGTTTTTCATCGCTGCTTCCTTCTGATTCAATTTTGAAGGCTTGAGGTCGACTGGCAACGATTCGTGTAGAGCGTGGGCGAAGGGATGATTGGTCGGGAAGTGGAGTTGATACATTTCCTTCTTTGGTTGGAGATGACGATCCTTGAGCTGTGACTGTTCCATCATTCTGTTAATTAAATAAATTATAAATTATAATTTATCATGTAAATATTATTTGATATTTCAACTTACCGATTCCGTTAGTCCTTTGATTTGTAATGCTTCTGCTGTGCTTATAAAGGCTGGCAAGGCTTCCTGCTTGACATTGACTTCTCCACAGTACATAAATTGAATCAAGTCTTTGAGAGCTGATGAACTAACATCTTTTAAGAAAACTGTGAAATAAAGAAATTCCTATAGATACACAAATTTTGTTATCAAACAATTTATTATCTTACCGAATGCGTGTTGATTTGCTGGCATTTGAGTAAACATTTTTCGGAAATATGGCGAGCATACCGATAGAACCAAACGATGAGCTTTTACAAGTTGTCCTTCTGCTGCTAGTGTTACGTCGACAAGATCTCCACGACACAGCGACTCATGGAAACCGGCTGATAGGTTTGTGTTAAAATTATTCCAGCAAAGGGAAAATTGTTCTTCGTCCGCCATTTTCGGACGTTTTATTTTTCCCGCTTCTCCTTGATTGGTTCTATAATTTTAAATACAAATAAAATATTAGTAAATGTATTCTCATGTTATTGAAAACAAAAATTGAAAGAGTCATAAAGATAATTCGATAGAGAAATTAACAAAATAAAATATGGCTTGGCTTATGTTCCAACTGAAAAACCATTTCAACTAACACTAACGCATTTGATATTTAACGGAAACTAGGAAAAGTAACGCCGACTTTAAGTGTAAAATTATAATTGGTTAATATTTAAGACTATTTAAAAATTATGCTGTGGAAATCTTATAAGTTTCGCCAACTAATTTTTTCTATTCGATGTTGTTTACGCGATCTAGAGAACAAATTTTTTGTTTCGAAATAAGAATTTATTTCCAACACATAAATAACGTTTTTGAGCACTCATACATATGCTCTCGTGTTTGTTCGATTTTATAATCTGCGACAAAAAACTGACTCTAAACGCATGCGTGTTAGTGAGCGTCCCTTAATTTTTTTCTATATGAAAATTTCGAAAAATTTCAAGTACAGATTTAGAACTAAAATTATTTTTAGCATAAATTTTTATCATATTTGAATACTTTGAGCATTATTTCGCTCATAAAATTAGAAATTAAGTAGATTAAAAAGCAATTTGAAAAAAATGACGCTTATACTGAAAACCGACGCCATGTTCGAAAAATTGAAATTTTAAAAATTGATTTTAACATAGTAATTTCATATTTTAAGGCATAAATTATATATGAAAATGAAGCACTTACCTAGTTTTTTACTTTAGTAGTAATTTTAATTATACTACACTTTTAATTTTTTTATTAAAATTTATTTCACGGAGAATTACGGCTTTTCGTCTTCACTCTTTGATGATTGAACTTAAAATGAGATCGAAATGAGTGAACTTCCAAGTCGACAAAATGAGGGGGCCTGAAGCTATGTTAATTGAACCTCAGATTAGCGGGAAATTTCAAATCTTTTCCTTAAAAAAACCGTGTTGATAATGTGAGATCAAATCAATTCTTAGATATGTTTCTACCGATGAATTAGGTATTATTTAGATTCTGTTTAAAGAAATAATTCGATGAACTCTTGTTTTATTTGTGTGGTGATGATTAGACTTAGGGATGATTTTTCTCATTTCAACAAATTGAAATTGAAGTTCAAGAGTCAATTAGAATGAAATTATCATTTGTTAATTTTCTTATTTATACAAAAATAGTATTAACTACAACCATTTTTTTTTATATCTGAAAACTACGTCTTAGCTCAAATAAAAAGGCAGCTGTTTCAATAAAAAAAGTAGATGGGAAAAATATTTCAAAAAGATCATTTGAGAATACTTTCTTTATTCCATTTTCTTTCTATCCTTTCGATCTAATGAATAATGATTAGAGTTAAGATCATATCTGCAGCAAAACATAGATCAATTGCAACTTATTCGTACATTACAATAAAATTTCTAGTAGAATTTAAAGAGGACGCCAGAATATATTTAATCTCTAAGATTAATTTTCATACAGATATGCTAAGAAATCTAATAAACTTCATATTCTTAATGATGAACTTGAAAAGCATTCTCAAATATTTTCTTCTAAAATTTTTGCGAATTTCCAATCTTAATATTTATAATCAATTTAAAGTGGAAATTCAAGTTTTATATTTTTAACTCGTGACTTTATAAAGCGATATTATTTTATGTTATTCGAGTTCATAAATGAAATTATGAATGGATGTTATTAATCAATTACAAATAAAATCGTGTACACAAAAATAATGTTTCTTGATTATTTCTTAATCAGATACAAGGAGATAATTTCTGAACATGAATTTAGCCAGTTCAAAACTAAATGATAACAATAAAATATTTTGCATAAATCTCTTATCGGCTCTCTTTCTTGAGTTTAAAATTCAATGCTAATAAATTTCATGATCATTATTTGTGAAAATCAAAATATTGACTTTGCGAACCAAGAGAAGAGATGAGAAATTTATAGGTAGTTAGAAAGAGATAAAATTTTTCTATGCATTGTCAATGGCTTAAAAAGTATAAATTTCAGCATTATAAAAACAACAAGCTTCAATTTGTGACCTCTAAGATTCCGACTTTTTATAAATTACCTGATTATTTTATTACCATTATAACTTTTATTTGAAAGATTATTCATTCAATCTCAAGCTCATAATTTCCATACATAAATGCCCCCCGACAAATTCAGCTGCTGAGGAAGAAAGCATTCATTCATTCGTCTCTTTTCACGTCATGTTTTGATACTTTATGCTATTTTCGCTTCTTTTCAATGCCTTATTTTTGTAAACAAAAAACTGTCGTTTTTAAATCGCTCCTTATCAAAGCAAATCTCATGTCATGACCTGTCTTAAATCAGAAGAGGCTTTTTGTGGGCTCGTAAAATCATTGACAATCTGCGACATTATATTTCAATGTCATGTGTGATGTATTCAATATGTTTTTCTTTAAATATCACAAAGGAAGAAAACAAACTGTTTTAAAAGTAAGTCATTGAAATTTTTTCTCAAGGGATGGTTAAGCATGTTTTTGATAAAGTGCGCAAACCAATTCTAAGGATCGCACGAGTTTCCTAGTATATATAACAAATACACAAGTCATGCTATAATGAATAAATAAATTTTTTTATTAAAGAAATGTCTGCTAACTTCTACTGATAACGATTGATTTAATTTTATTTCCTTCACATCTTCCGAACTCGTTCTCATTACTTTCGAACATCTTGCTGAGTTTGGTCGCATTTTAGATAGGACTTAAAATTTATAAAATTATATTTTTTTAAACATAAATACCTTAAAAGTAATTTTTGTGAAAATCTCACTGTAAGTAAAAAATGTAACAATCAATAATTTTATTTTTGTAATATGTGAAAAGTCTTAAGTAAATATCGATATGTTTTGTCATGAATCTCTAAGTGATAGTGCAATTAATGAAAGAAATTTACATTTTAAATTTTAACGTCAAGTGATATTTTGAATGAAATGATCTTGATATTGAACCTATGTTGAACTGTACTTATTCACTCACACTATCTTACGATAGAGAACCTCAGGGATTCACATAAAAATTAAATAAATTTCTATCTCAATATTCCTATGAATTTAAAGTCATTTCAATATACTTTAAGTATTTTAGAAACAATAAAAATTACCCTTAGTTTAATTTTCAATCACAGAATTGCTCAAGATATCATCACATCAGCTTCAGTTTCATTTAAAATTTGTGACTTCTTAAAAGTTCTCTACTTCAATAAATACAATGCACACTAAGAAAAGCTAAAAACTATAAATAGTCGAGCGCAAGCATTTTTCTTTGCTCTTTTCCTATAGCTTGCTTTAAGAATTCACGTCGGAAGAAAGATTAAGCATTAGATAAGTCTTTAAATAGTGTTTAATCACCATCAAAGTTCATTGAAACAAATTAAATAAAGTTACAAGCATCTGAAAGTTCACAGAAATATTCAATAATCACATTTTTCTATTGAAAAGGACAATTTACACTTTTCCTTAAAAATTAAATTTGGTGAAAATTTTGGGAAATGCCAGAAACAACAATGAATGGTTATTTAAATGGAAGTCATATCCACAATGGTTATGAAATGGAGGACAATGCATCATTTCTGTTCACATCTGAATCAGTAGGCGAAGGACATCCAGGTGAGTTTCCTTCCAAAAATATGAAATACAATTTTATAACATCTCAAAAAAAAATTGAAATTGAACGCAATTTGACTTCTTTAATCAACATTTGTGTCATCACATCTGTGTTATCATTAGTGACGTTAAAATTGACTTCTTTGTTTTATCTGTAGTCAAATTTATTCTTAGTTCATATTGAAAAAGAGAAAAAAAAAGTTTTGAAAGATTCAAATTGCCCACAAAACATGTGCTTTTTAAAATTTCCCCACATGGAGGTAGTGTCAATGCAATATTATTTGTTAGACTGATAAGACATTGACTTTAGGTGGTTTTGCCCACATTTACATCACATCAGAATCAAATTTTTAATAAGAAAAAGTGGGCTCATAAAAACTTCTATTTTTGAAACTTTTTTTCTTTTTTGAGTCAGTGCAAATGAAAGTATAAGTCGGCAAACAAAGATCATGCGCTGCATAACATTAATATGGCGTATTTGCCAGTCGGCCTCTGAAATTATTAACATCTTATTTCATTACTTACATTAGCATTGTGCGAGAAATAAACTTTCGTTCTTAAAAAAGATTCCAAAGAAATTTGCGAATGTTTAATAATTCTGATGACATTCTCTTATGAAATGAAATTTTGTCGTCAAGAGCTAATGAAGAAATTTAATACTTTCCAGACAAAATGTGCGATCAGATTTCTGATGCTATCTTAGATGCACATCTAAAACAAGACGCAAATGCGAAAGTTGCCTGTGGTAAGATCTTGACCTGATGTTGTTGATGAAATTATTAACTAACAATGATGCAAATTTCGTCTTCTTTTATTAAATAATACGCATTTTAGAAACTGTCTGTAAAACCGGAATGATTCTTCTCTGCGGTGAAATAACATCAAAAGCAAATGTAGACTATCAGCAAGTTGTTCGCGATACAGTTAAGCACATTGGATACGACGACTCATCAAAGGGTAAGTTAAAACAAATAATTATAGAATTAAGTAAACATCAAAATGTTTCTCGACTTGTTTTACAATGTGCGTTATAAATTTACTTACTTGACAACAATGTCTCAAAATAAGAATTCAAGTCAAAGCTATAAAAATCAATTCTAAGATTTATAATTAAATCAAAAATGGGTTTAGGATTCGATTGGCGTACTCTTAATCTGCTTGTTGCTATTGAACAGCAGTCACCAGACATCGCGAACGGAGTTCACATTAATCGTCATGAAGACGATGTCGGAGCTGGGGATCAGGTACAGATGAGAAAACTTTATGGGGTTACTCTTAAATATAATATGATCGCTTTGCAATATTTTTGTGATTACACATCATTCTAACAACAATATGAAATGAAAACAATACTAATTATCATTGATCATTATTAGTTTTCAATAACAAAATCTTGAAACTTTATTCTCTTTTTATTCTTCAAATTATTTCAAAATTTTGTTATTGAATCATCATTTCCAAACCTTACCTAAATGAGCAAATAATAAATTTTCGTCTGTTATTAATTAAAATATGATGAATAGGAACTGCTGACTTTGACTTTTTCAGACTTTTTCTTATATTGTTTTCTTCAGCCGACTAGTTTCGAGTCTTATGAGTCAAAGCCAGGCTCGAAACTACGGTTGAAGAAATAAAATTATAAGAAAAAGTCTGAAAAAGCCAACGTCAACAGTTTTTATTCATCTTATCTAAATGCTTCACTGAAATACCTAAAAGATCTTCAAATTTTTTCTAAAACCTAGCAACAACAATTAGAACAAAAGATCTTATTCAAAATTCTTTAAATTGGCGCTTGAATTACTAAGTGTTTAGTTAATATTTCTTTCTTATTGACTCATTTTGCGTCATTCGAGAGCAGAATATTGTTTTTATCATCTTGGGGTCATCACATTAAAGACGCTATCAGAAGAAATACTTAAGAGTGTTCATTCAAATCACAAATATCACTTTTAGGAATGTTTTTTCAGGCAAAATATGATCAATGAATGCTTCTGTCTATTGACAATGAATTATGGGCTAGTTAAATGAATAAACGAAAAAAGCATGTACTTTTCTTTAAAAATAGGGGAATAAATAAGACAGAATTGATAAGAATTATTCTAGTATTTAGAAAAGGGCCTTGAATAAGACCAAGAACGACTGAGAGTCGCCTCGAGCAAAAAAAAAATCGAAAAATTATCAGCAGAGCAATGACTGATGAATAAAAAAATCTTCTATCAATTTTCTTCTCTTTATCAAGGTTTTGACTACAAAACATGTAGTCTCATGAGCTGCTTAGAACAGCAGAGTCCAAATATCGCCGAAGGTGTGCATGTTAATCGCTCCGAGGAGGATATTGGAGCTGGTGATCAGGTATTAGATGAATGAAAGAAAAAAAGATTATAACACATACAACTAAGTTTTTAATCAAATAAAATGAAAGAGTCATTGCTTGATATTTTGTTAAAATGTTAGCACAGTAAAATATAATGTTATTGACCATATCAAGTTAAAATATTTCAAAATTTGCATGATCATACGATTTGAATATAAGATTTTTGTGTTATATAATATCTTAATTATGTTTTGCTTGTTGCATGTAAATTATCAGCAAAATTTCTTACAACAACTCATCGAATTTTTCACAATTTCAGGGCTTAATGTTCGGATATGCTACCGATGAGACAGAAGAATGCATGCCGCTTACTGTCGTATTGGCACATCGCTTAAATCAGAAGATCGCTGAACTACGTCGTTCTGGTGCTCTTAGCTGGGCACGACCCGATTCAAAAACACAAGTGAGTTGACGTCATTCAGTCCTTTGAACGTATGTGTTTGAACGAGATTCAATTTACATGATGTTAAAATAAATCATTCGAATATTTGCTGACTGAAGATGATTGTAAACAAATTGAACAAACTGAATATAAAATTTACTTATTTTTCTAGTTGATAAAATGCTTAAAAGACATTTTAGTAAAATTTTTTGCTCTCATTCGTTCATTCCCAGGTCACAGCTGAATATGTTTTTCAAAAAGGCGCTTGCATTCCACAGCGTGTTCATACGATTGTCGTGTCATTGCAACATTCAGAAAAAGTAACATTGGATGAGCTTCGTTCTGAAATAATGGAAAAAGTTATTAAAGTTGTTATTCCCGAGAAATATTACGACGAGAACACAATCGTTCATATCAATCCTTGCGGATCATTTGTCATTGGGGGACCACAAGGTGACGCTGGCTTGACGGGACGTAAGATTATCGTAGATACATACGGTGGGTGGGGAGCACATGGTGGTGGAGCATTCTCAGGAAAAGATTTCACAAAAGTCGACAGATCGGCAGCTTATGCAGCTCGTTGGGTTGCAAAATCATTGGTTAAAGCAGTAATTTGTCGACGTTGTTTAGTTCAAGTCAGTTATGCTATTGGCTTGGCTGAACCATTATCCATCACAGTCTTTGACTATGGCACATCGAACTTATCTCAAAAACAACTTTTATCTATTGTTAAGAATAACTTTGACTTGCGACCAGGGAAGATCGTAAAGTGAGTTTCGATTTAAAATCCTTTTTCAATCAAATATTTAATTAATTGTTTATCTAACAGAGATTTGAACTTACGTACTCCGTTTTATCAACAAACAAGTACATATGGACACTTTGGTCGTGATGGTTTCCCATGGGAGAAACCAAAAACGTTGATCATGGAATGACTAGACCAAGTTGACACGACCGAGCACGCAGAACCACACTGCACTAAGAAACTTAAATTAGCATAAGTAAATAACCCTAATCTTTTAATTCAAGCGTAAATTGACACCTAACAAGAATTTTTTTAAACAATACGTAGCACAGATATTCGTTTTTCGTTCATATCTTATCGGAAAAGTGTTTTCTTTTTTAACAAAAACGTGGATTTTTAATATTTTTATGGAGTTTTCTTGCTCGTTTTTCTTTCATTTTTATATTTCAAGACAATGAACATACTTAGAATAATTTCTATTGTTCATAAGCTAAGGATTCTGATTTCTCTTAGTTTTATGTTGCCTTGAATATTTTTTTTTAAATTCTATACAAACATTGATAATGTAGATGAACAAGATAAAATGGACGAAAAAATAGAAAAACACAAAAATCCATTGTTTAGGACTTACAGCTCTAGATTAACTTCGCTGAATCACGGCACCTCGGTATCTTTGAAAAATAACAGCAACGCTTATGTAGTGCTGAGTGTCGCAATACTTTCTACAACTTTCTTGTGTCAGTGAATAAAAATATGTAATTGAATTTAGAAAAATTCAAACTTAATATTAAATTTCACTTGTCTGTTGTGAATAAAAGTTTCATGATAGTGACAATTTCGGAGAAATCTCTGAAATCTCATTCTTATGAATATCCCGACAGTGAAATTTCATCCCAACTGACCATTTTACCTGTAGATTGTTATTGTGTTGTGTTTCTGGAATTAATGGAAAAGAGCATACCAAAAACACACCGATTCGCGAGTAATTGAAAAGGAAGCGATAATAAGCTTGATTATTGAATCAAATGAGAAAAACTAATTTATGAAAAATTTTGCACAGCACATAGGTAGCTTAACATCTTTCAATAATGCATTCGCTTACCAGAACTTGTAAGTCTAAATGTTGGAAACAAAAAAAATATACAAATTAACAATTCAAAATGATTTTAAATAAAAACATGTTTATGTAGATGGAAAAAAATATGAATAAAGAATTTATAAAATTAAAAAAATTTGAGTTTTTATGTTGAAAATCGTCTTGTGTCGCTTAATCCTTGGCTTAATCGTATTAGACAGAAAAAGAAAATTTTTTTTGTCTTAAAACCGTTAAGTTTAAAAATTTCCCTCCTAAACTCAAGTTCAAAATGTCGAAATAAGTTCAAAATGAAACAAAATTTTGTTTATATAGAATAAGAATCAGTTTAATTTATTGAAATAAGTTATAAATGGGACGAAGAAAATCTAAAAGAAAGCCACCTCCAAAACGACGTGCAATTCAGCCTCTGGATCAAATGTTTAATTGTCCTTTCTGTAATCATGAAAAAAGCTGCGAAGTGAAAATGTAAGTTTTTCTTTTCAATCTCAAAGTTCGAAAAAAACGATATTGGGTATTTACTTATATTATTCATAGGGATAAATCAAGAAACTCTGCACTTATAAGCTGTAGAGTATGCTCAGAAAGATTTCAAACAACTATTAATTTTCTGAGCGAGCCTGTTGATGTCTATAATGACTGGATCGATATGTGTGAAGCTACAAATTAAGGATCATATAGAATACGTTGATCTAACGCTAAGATAAATACTTAAACTTATATATTCAATCTTGTAAGATTCATTTGATTAAGAATAAATATCTGATTTTATTCTATTATCATTTCTTTTTTCTCTAACATCAACTTCGCTCCTCTCGTCCATTTTCAATTTCAGGTTCATGCTTATTTTTTACATAACACAGAAAAACATTATAGAATGTTGTTATCATATTTATGTACAACACACGATATTTTAATGGAACGAAAAAGAAATTTATGAGTTGAGTCGGTGGCCAAACCATCCAATCTGCTAAATAAATTGTCAAAAATTTCTTCCTGAGAATGTCTACAGTGTCTTTGAAAGAGCTTCCAGCAAGGAAAAACGCTGTATAGAAATAATGTACGATGAACACAGGACTGACAATAAACTGAAACAAATACAATAAATTACTCTTATCAGTTTCTGATGCCACATGAAGATGATGCAATATTACCTGATCAGCAAGTATCTTCTTAAAAACAGTTTTCTTGGCATTGCCTGGCAATAATCTCTCCATCCAGAGATATGTGTAGTGATGTAATGGACCTTGTGATAATCCTACTACCGTCAATTGTTTGAGTTTTTCATTGTCATACTTGAATTCTCCGTTATTCTCTTTGGAGTAATAATTATTTATTCTTTGGGCTGCAGCTTCTCCAATAAACATTAAAAATCCTGAGGAAACTGTATTTGTTATTAGAAGATATTTTCCAAACAGTCTGCTTTCTGATTTTTTAATCAAGTCAAACAATAACTTCCTCATCTTAATAAAAAATTTAATATTTTTCCTCTTCTACATATCTAATCTTGAGGGAATAATTTTGTAAGATTTTCTTAATACAGAGCTTAAAAGAAAACTCAAGGGGAATCCCTGCAATTCAGGGGTTCTTGCTGTTTGTTTACATTTTTCAGTATCTACATAAAATTTAAAAATTATTTCAAAACTTTCATTAATAATTAAATGAAAACGATAATATAATAAGATAAAACAAATGATAATAAAAACCCTAAATATCATTATAAAAGTTAGTTGCAAAGGTTTGCAATGGCAGAGAAGTTATTCAAGTTTAAAAGTTCTTTATTTTGGAACCGACAAATTTTCACTTCCTTCTCTGAAAAGATTGTAAGTACTGTGTTTTAATTTAATCTTCTTTATTTAAATTGTTTATTTCTTTAATATGTTTTAGATCTGAACAGAATTTAGCTCGACTGGAAGTAGTGACATCCTACAAAGCAAGAAATAATCCCATTAAAAGCTATGCAGATAAAAATTGTATGAAAGTTTACGATTGGACATCTTTTTTAAAGGAAGAAAGTGATATTTGTAAAGACTTTGATTTAGGAATTGTTGTCTCATTTGGACATCTTATTCCTGAGAACATCATTGAGAGCTTCAAACAGTAATAATTTCAACTGTTTTGAGAATCATAAAATCTTTCATCATATTTTATATTTCAGTGGAATGTTGAACGTTCATGCAAGCATTTTACCCAAATATCGAGGAGCATCGCCTATAATATATGCCATTAGGAACGGTGACAAAGAAACAGGCGTGTCGATAATGAAAATAAAACCACATAAGTTTGACGTAGGAGAAATTTTGATGACCCAACGAACAGATATTCCAGATGATATGCTTATGCATGAACTCCACGACAAGTTATCAAATCTTGGTGCTGAATTACTTTTAAACTGCATTGAAAACTTATCAACACTTAAAGAGACCGATCAAAACGATCATAATGCTTCATATGGTAAATATTTATTCAATTCTAATTAATGATCACATTTGATTTCAAATTAATTGCAGCACCTAAAATTAATAAAGAATTCTGCAAAGTTCGGTGGAATGTCATGATGTCAGATGACATTTTTAATTTATATCGTTCGATTTATTCATTTAAAAATATCTTGACGACGTTTAAGAATGAGCCTGTCAAATTGATAGAAATAGCCAAATGTGACAAAAACAATCCGCCAGTTTTAGAAGAACAGGGAACATCTACAGAACTCTCGCCAGGTCATCTGATATTCTGCAAGAAATCTAAAAAACTTTTTGTTAAATGCTTAGATGAAAATTTTCTAGAAATTAAGAAAATTTCCCTAGGCAAAAAGAAAGTAATGTCCGCTGTGGAATTTAGAAATGGATTCATGAAAAATTATTTAAATTCAAATCATTATTTTGAATAGTAAGGCAATAAAAAATTATCAGTCGAAAGTTTTGTTCACAATTCAAATTTTTTCATTCAGTAATCTAGATTAAAATTTAATCTAACTCTTAAACTAATCTCGTGTTTTTCTACGAATTTTCACATCAGGCAACCCATAACAAACCAAAAACAAAAAAATGTTAAAATGATAAGCCGAGAAAGTAAATTTAGTGCTGTAAGTTTTATTCTAGGTATCTCTACGCAATTGTTTGGTGTGTCAGAGTATGGTGAAAAGATTGCTTTGTTACTAAGCGAGTCATTCTTCTCATCAATTTATGCACTGTTTTTATTATATTTCATCGTTTTGGTTCTTTCGTTGAGCATTTGCTTTAAATCAAAGGATTTTCAAGTAAGTTAAACATGAAGTTATGTAATTGAAAAGTTTGTGAATCACATTCTACCTTTTAGATCGCAATTAGAGCTGGAATTCTGGGTTATTTCTTTGGAATCAGCATCTATATTGCTTTTGCACTGAAAGATCAATACAAAGCTTTCGGCATTTATGGAGCTTTTCTCACCTTCTTCCATTTTTCGGAGTATTTTGTGATTTCTATCACAAGCCATCAAGCACTATCACTTGATTCGTTTATGTTAACACATTCAGTTCAATATGGAATTGCAGCAACACTCAGTTGGATTGAATTCTTTTGTGAGGCTTATTTTTTCCCCGGTAAGATTTTCATTCATGAAATTATAGTTTTATGACTAAAAAATTTCTTCCTCTTGATAGATATGAACGAGTACAAAAGTTTTTGGATTGTTGGATCACTGATATGTTTGTCAGGAGAAATTGTAAGAAAACTTGCAATGTTCACAGCGAAAAAAAGTTTCCATCATATTGTAAGAGAAGTTATTAATTAAAATTTGAATAATTTTAACATTTAAAAATTTAAAAATTTCATTGAAGGTTCAATTCCAACAAGCTGAAGATCACAAACTTATAACAAATGGAATTTACAGGATTTGCCGTCATCCAAGTTATGTTGGATGGTTTTATTGGTCCATTGGCACTCAAATTATTCTCACTAATCCATTTTGCTTCATAATTTATATCATTGCAAGTTGGTTATTTTTCAAAGAAAGAGTTTATATGGAGGAAATTGCATTACTGAATTTTTTCGGCGAAGAGTACTTAAGATACCAACAGACAACAAAGACTGGATTGCCTTTCATAACCGGATATTCTGTAAGCAACAACTAAACTTTTCCAAACTTTTACAAACAAACACAAAATGTATTTCTCACAGTTTTTTAATTTTATATTAAACAATTTTTAATTTTATAATTGTGATAGAAAATCAGTCATGTTGTGCACATTTTAAATCCCCCATCGATGCCAATTATTATCTCGTCTAATAAAATATGCAATAAAAGTTGTCAACATTAAAATCACTTTTTTATTGTTTATTTTTTATTTTAAATCAACACTTTAATTAATGTTTTATTTTTTGCAGCGAATTTCTAGTTGCAGAAAAGATGTCGAAAGAATCAAAAATGATGCAGCACAGAAGAATGTTTGGAAATATTCAAGAAAATCATAGTCAGTGAATAATTCACATCGTATTTGCAAGTTTCAACGGTCAGAACTAATTCAAATTTTTAATTATGAACACTTCAAAGCTATGATTTTGAATTACCACACAAGCTTTGAAATGTTTACAGAAATTTTGTAAAAATTAAAACAAAAATAAATTTAATTTAAATGTCATTTGTATCCAGAATATCATCAAAGTTTGGTATTATCACTTGTATAGGATGCACATTGCATTGCTTTTTTGAATATATCTGTGATTTTGTTGTTTGCTCAGGTAGAGAAACAATTCTTAACAAATGCTTATGTAAAGATAACAAAATTTTAATTTCTTTTAGGTGAATCAATGCAGCCGACATTATATTCAAACAACATACTCATATGTAGTAAGATCGCACAACGTAAAAACACTTTTGAAAGGAATGACATCGTTGTTGCTATTCATCCAAATCAACCTAAAAGTCTTATTTGCAAGCGAATGATTGCGCTTCCAGGAGATATAGTTTTAATGAACTCCACAAAAACTGAAGATTCAGAGAACACAGGCTCTTCTGATGTTCAAAAAATCTACATTAAACCAGGGTCTTGCTGGTTGGAAGGTGACAATAGAGCAAATTCTACTGATAGTCGAAATTACGGACAGATTCCAATTGGATTAATTAAATCAAAAGTTTTAGTGCGTGTTTGGCCTCTTAGTGAGTTTAAGTTTTTTTAGTTTATTAACCATGTTTAAATCGACCTATAGTTGTTAATTAAATAAAGTAATTTTTTTTTCAATCATCAATCTTTTACAAAATTCTCCTTATCACCTAAATAAATAAATTTAAGTAAGAGATTAAGATTAACAATGAAAGAAAAATATGTAAATTCACCTTAAAATTCTTCTGCTTTGGTCCGCAAAGATGAGGAAAGAAGTAATTTAATTACTATTTTGTTTATACTCCCCAACGAAAATTCCATTTGGAAACATTTCGTTTCTTCATGATAGGATGGCATTCAGTATATTCGTTCCCCTCACCTTTGTAGAACTGGCAACGGAAATAGTTAAATTCATCCTTAAACAGTGTTTTTAGAGATGATTCAGGCGAAACCAGGAATCCATATAATTCTATGAATTTGAGTCTGCTTGCTGCTGTGCGGATACAATCAATTGTTTCATCTTCAAGGATAATTTTAGTTTTAAAATTTTCGTTTACAATTTTCAAATGAGTTAACTTGGGATGATCATTGATAATCTGTTGCATGTCTTCATCATAAAAATCATACGTTGTTAACATAATCCGCTCGACATTTGGGCAAACATTGAGAAGTGAGAGAAGCGCTCTTGTGTTATCGACATTGACACTACAACCTTTCATAATCATTTCCTCAAGCTTCTCATGTCTTAGATTCTCATCGATGACTAAAACGTCTACATCACCATCGCGATAATCGAACTCGATGGCAATCGACTCCAGATTGGGGAAGTTTTCCAAAATTGTATTAATGATATTTGTGTAGCGGTTCCAAAGTTTGATGTGCTTGAGTTTCCGGAAGTTTTGGATCATTTGAATGAAAAATCCTGGTGGAATTTCCTCACAGGAAAGTATTAATTTTTCAATATTTAAATGCATTCTGCTCAACTCAAGGAGATTATTAGACTCTTCACCTGAATCGATTCCTAATTCAAGTTCCTTTAAATGAGTGAGGTATTTAAGAGATTGAAAGACAGGATAAGGCAAATCAAGATTGACGGACAATATTTCGAGATTATTCATATCGCATAACGCTGTTAAAATCTCATGGTCAGTTGATTCTGAAAAGTCTGCTTCGAAGTAACGAAGTCCCGGCTGCTGCCGCAAAATGACAGAGACATCTTCCTCATCAAAATACAGACCAAGTTTCAAATGTTCAAGTTTGAGATGATCGAACTTAACTTGGTTCTTATATTCATGTGTTGTTGACATTTCAAGAAATTTAATGTTAGTTTGTTGATTGAAGAACTCTTGCCAAGACATATCTACAGGAATACTGATAATTAATTCTTTTATACTATCTTTTGGTATTGCGTTAAGCAAGATGTTAGGCAAGATGTTAGGCAAGATGTCCGACATGTCGGGAATACTCCAATCTTCAATCGTTAGCTTCTTCAGTTTGCATAAGTTTGGTTCAGAAATATCTATATTCGAGTTTATTACACTTTTATAATAGCCAGAAATGCGAAAAGGATCCAGTACCAGATTTTCGACGTTAGGAATGCAATCAAATATTCTTCTTAGCTCCGACTCTGACAAGTCAAAATTCTTTAATTCAAACCTTTTTATTCTTTTCCCGAATTTTAATATCACGTCTTCTACATGTTTCATTTCTATAAACTTATTACCATGCAAATCGATTGTTAAATCTTCAAATTCACGAGAAGAGTTGACAATTGACCTGCGGATTTCTTCGTCACAAATCTATGGACAATATTTTATGAATAATCATTTTGATTATATTCTTTTTCTTCGCTCTAGTTACCTTTGAATACGAAAGTTCCAATCGAAAGCAGTCTCTTTCTACGACACACATTAATTCATAAAAACGCTTACAAACTTGTGCAACGTTTTCACGCCATGAAATATTAACATAACTAAATATATGTAGAAATATTTCATCCGGTAGGTTTAACAAGTGTACTTCTTGAAATTCAGATTGATTCATTTCTTTATCACTTTTTTGCTTGTAATCACCACTTGTGATCACCACTTCTCTTTAAGATCTTTTTCAAATGTGTTTTAGCGCCTACTTGGTTTACTTGCTATAAAATTGCTATAAAAAGGAAACAAAAAGTGTTGCTACGCCTGAAT